AACCCTAAACCCTAAACCGGAAGAGGATGGATGAGTTTTTATGGTTTTTTACGGTTTGGGATCTCGGGTTGAAGGCTGAAGCGTCAAGGCTTCGGAGTTGAGCTGCCCCGTCCTCTTGGGGATGTGGGAGTTTCTTGCAGTTGTAGACTTCCCTAAACCCTAAACCCTNNTATACCCTAAAGCCTAAACCCTAAATCCTAAACCTTTTCTGGTTGTTCGGGGTTTGAGTGTCTCTGGTCCTTAATATTGTTGGTGCAAGAGTTTTTTGTTTTGCTTGCTGCGGGTTCAGAAGGAGTTCGTGGACATGCAGGATTTCAGGGTTTGTAGGCATTTATAGCGATGGGAAGGGATGCAAATCGCAGCTTACGTCTGAGTTGTCGATTGTTCGGAGAATGCTCCTTCCTATCACACGGCAGGGCTTCAGTACGGTGTTGAAAGGCACTTTCTTCCAGGTCTTGTGGCTTCTGGATTGATGGTTGAGTTCTGTTTCTGCTGCATCAGATTGATCTCGGACCGTGGTATGTATGCCGCGATTATCATGTTGTGTGGTTCTTCGGTCCCGGTTTTGTTGGTGTTCACGGCTTTCGGGCTCATGGGTTAAGGCTAAAGTTTAAGGGCAGAAGATAGGAGGCTTGCGGCTTAAACTCCAGAGCACTGCTTAAGTTGAGTTTATGCCGTGTGGAAACAAGGCTAAGCCTTTTGAACTATGCGGGGCCTTGCCGGCCTTGTGAGAGTGTGAGAGTCGAAACCCTAAATCCAAAAGCGTAGTAAACCCCGAAGACCTCGGAGAAGATCATCCTGTCTCGGGCCATGGAACAGGGAACTCCGGCAAGCATGAGCATTCATCTTGACGTTAGGTCCCTTTCGCCACTCTCAAGACCTGTTTAAGTTTTCAAAGCCTTGTAACTTCCGGAACTGTCTACATTCTGGACGGCTTACCCTAAACCCTCTTCCAGATGGTAAACAACAAAGGCCCAAAAGCCCGATTCTCCGGTTGAACCCTGAAGCCCTTGGGCTTAGGATTTAGGGTTGAGGGTTTAGGGTTTAGGACCCTTCCAGAAGCACCTCAAAGGAGACGCTTCAGCGACACGACAAACTTCTAGACCCTCAACATGGGTAGTTCTCCAAATTAGTGCCCCTTTTTTAGGTCTTCAATGTAGTACGGCACCCTTTTGAAGAGGGACCCTAATTTAGAGAACTACTCACATACTGTAGGGGCCTAAGTAGTTACCTAAACTATTTTGGGGGTTCCTTATTATAGTTGTAGTATAACGGGCCCCAAAACCCTGTTCTAATTATTAAGGCCCCGACATTACCTACAGGACGGAAGGTCCCCAAAACAGAAGAAGCGTAGATCATGCAGTGGCAGTTCAGACATTTGGGAGTTTCCGAAAATAAGGGGTACCTTACTTCGGGGTCTTTATGATCATGACCCTACTGTTCAGTATAGGGTACTATATTAGGGTCCCGTATATCGGAAACCCCATTTCATTTTCACCTTAAGAGCCATCAAAAACAAAACCCACATCCCGAGATCGATGTCTTGGGTCTGGGGGGGTCAACAGCTATAATAAGATTCCCAGCTAATTCAGACAGGTTAATTATACTAACTAACTAATATTGCTGCAGAGATTTGTGCGCTGTTCGTTATGGAGTTGCAGATTTTGGCCGGCTGGCCGCCGTCTGCTTCCAAGGTCTGGGACAAGGGATTAAGGCTTTGGGTTTAGGGTTTAAGGTTTCAGAAAACTACCGGTGGCTGGGAGTCCTTGCACAGGAGTCGTTTCTCCTGGCAGCATGCTCGATCTCTGTCCGCGCTTCTCCTCGTGCCAGGTCCAAGCTTGTTAGCCCAGCTGGCGGGCTGTAGTGAGGCGTTCTTGCGGACTCAAAGCTCGTCACGAGGAATGGCGCCGTCAGACACATGGGGCGTTTTGTTGTGCTTATTTATCATTACAGTAACACATGATACAGGCTTCAGCAGCACATGCAGATCTTGACGATGCTGATGGCTGAGAGCCAGCAAGCCAGCACAGGTCTAACATCCAGTCAGAACCCCTACAATCTACAAAGCCGGAGAGCCACTGCGCAGTTCCGCAGAAAAGCCGCAGACATTTTCTTCACTTGCTGCCCATGGCCTTTGATAGCCATCGCGTGGACAGCCCGGTCGCTACTTGGCATGGAGGGGCTTTCTTACAGCTGTAGATTTGGTACTCATCTTCCAGTGTGGTCAATCCTCTTCCTCAGAGTCTCACAGTGTCAAGGCTTAAGTGTGCCAGTTCGGTTCCATTCCGACATCTGCCGGCCGCGAGAAGAGTCTCGCATGCTTTCGGGAACCCTCCAGAAACCTAAAACCGTGGAAACCCAATCAGCGAGGGTGCCTTCAATGATGGTACGGGTGCTGTTCAGATGCACGCAGCCTCTGAGAATCGTTTCTTTTCAATTTTCTGAGTAAACAACCGCAAAGGAACTCCTGACTAAGAACGACCTTGCTGTGCCCTTGTCACAACTCGCTACAAAATCGCCCTTACCCCTTGAGAGGTATCAGCAGAAAGCCTTGCAAATCTAGGCCTCAAGAAGGAGAATGCGCGAGGGTATCCCTGCAGCTTGCCTTGATCTGTTTCTTAAAGCTAGGTCTAGTAACTAGGTGTTCGTTATACAGGGTTTAGGGTTTAGAGTTCGCCCTAAACCCTAAACCCTAAACTATGCGACGCCTTGCCGGCCTTGTGCGAGTGCGAGAGTCGAAACCCTAAACCCTCAGTCTGTGCTGAAAAAGGGTTCGCTATGCACGGGTAGAGTCTGCGAAGGCCCGTGGCCTTGCAAGGGCGCAGTCCTATGAGGGTTTGGTGCTGAAACGGCCTTGCGGTTTAGGGACGTTTATGGTTTAGGATATAGGATGAGGGTCAGGGCCCGGGTTCAAAAGGATGAGAGTTTAGGGTTTAGGATGAAGGTTTAGGGTTTAGCGTTTATCTCCCAGACTAGTCCTGAGCCGTAAGCCCCCAATCTTGTAGCTTTTGAATTGCCGGGCTTCCGGCGAGCAGTGAATATGCGTGTAGTGAGGGCCCTCTAACGGAAACTTAGGCAAGATCCTCGCAGGTGGGGTCTCACAGTTCGGGCCTACGGCCTAAACGCATCGTCAGTTTTCTGGTAAATACTACATTTGAATCATCAAACCTTGTGATCATACTGGCTGTTCTGTATGGACGCTTTGGTATGATTACGGGTGCTGAACTCGACACGGGTCCTAAAACCCAAAACGGTGTGGTGAGAGGCAGATGATGCAAACTGAATCATGTGAGCGTCGGTGGCTACTTGGTTGAACACCGTGTTGGGAGATGTGTCGTTTCTCCTGTTGCCACAACTACCGCTACTACGCCGGCCTCTACTGCTAGCACGACCACGCCGGGATCAAGCACGACGAAGGGCTCAACTACCGCCACCACCGCAATTCCGGCTAAGAGCTACAACTACCATCACGGCTTTTGCCACCACGTGACTCCCACTGAATCTCTAGATGGACTGGTTCAGAGCTGGTAGGAAGCTAGTGACGAGACTGCCCCACATCGGACCATAAGTTGTTGTAACATGCGTCAAGCATAGAATAATCATAACGGACGATCATTCTAATGCTCTAATACCTCTGCCACCCCGCTACCATGCTGTGTCCCATGCGTAAGTACAAAGAGGTCCGATCTCCTGGCGAGCCGGCCGAGCGAGTGCCATCGCTGCAGATTAGAATTTGGGGTTTTGTCAGCTGGGCTGCATACTTACTATAGTAGACCAGTACAAGTATAGTATAGCTTATAAGTCTAGTATATGACAGCATAGTCTCACGCATCGTGAGGGACCCAGACCTCACGCACAGCTGGTTCGAGGCCCTGTCATGGGCAGCATAGGAAGAGATGTGGTACGACGGGGCAGCAGCCGGATCCTGCTGCACCTGCAGCCTCGTCTTCGTGCCAGAAGTCAGAATACATTAGCTTTATGGGGGTTTAGGGTTCAGTGATTCAGGGTGGCTTGCTGTAGCTGTGGTCGCTACTCTGCCCGGCTTCTGTTTGAACAGGGTTTGGGACCAGGTGAAAAAGCGTTCGAACCTCGAGCGGCTGCGGTGCGTGAGGCTTAATCTTAAGCATCTTCTACTCCATGAGTGTTTGATTATGGAACACTAAATCAGAGGCTGACTATGTTTTCTTTTTTTCGTATCCTGGTGCCGGGGTTTTCGGGTGCAGTGCAACGACTACTAAAACAGATAGCCGTGCATGAAAAAGGGCTGCCAAGAGCCCCTTGGCAAATCATACAGGCGGTGACGCGGAGAGCTGCATCGAGTCATCAATCGGTCTGAGTCTCCTTTTTTGCCTTTCAAAACGGGTTGTTCGTCTCTTGGAGGTCCATCGTGTCTATTTTTCGAACAGGGACACAGGGGCCTGAGTAATTACACGAGGGAAGTACTCCAATCTCTCAACTTGTATTAAGGAAAGAGGAATACTCTTACTGTACTGTCAGGAACTTCTATAATAAACCCTCAACCCTAAACTTAAGAAGGAAAGGGTCGTGCAGACAAAAACTAATATTGGACCCTCCAGATCGAAACCTGGAATTCGAAAGCTTCCGTTGCTTCGCCCGGGCCGTGGAACAACCTTTGCGGTAGCAAGGAGTAACTTGTCTGCCGGGTAGAAGAATTCCTACAAAAGTGTCATATTATATTATAGTAAATTATAGTGCTGTGCAGCCGCCGAAGGCCAGTGTGTGATATAGTAAATTATAGTACAGCAAATAGTGCATTATGGTACATTCTACGGTCGCATACTATCTTGCAATTATGCGTAAGACAGTAGGGAAGACCTCCAAAACCCAAACACCCATGCACTGGCGCGGAATGGCGGGCTTAAGGGACGACGGGAAACCCCAGAGGATAGGATCTAGGGTTCAGGGTGTAGGATGGAAAGACTTCAAAGTGGTCAGCTCCACAAAAAGAACACCACGCAGAAGAGCCCAAGGATCGGAAGAATTAGGCCTCGCTGCTACTTGTAGCGGCTTTGTAGCGCCTTTGTTTGACACTTCGATCCTTTTGTGCAACGAAACGAGGGCCAACGTAGTTGTGTCCTACGGTGGGCGCAAAGTCCCTGCAGAACCCGATATCGAGCCCAGATTGAAGCTCATGGATTCCCAACGTGAACAAGTAGTTCCTACATTACACATTATAGTATATACCTACATATGTATATATATATATATATACAAATGTTAGAGAACAATACGTATAGTATACTATAAGTATAATAATATAATATTGCATAATATATCATAATATAGATGTGTATATATATATATTATACATATGTATAGATATAACAAACGTATGTTACCTCACAGGTGCAGCATATCCTCTATGACTCTGTGTCGGATCCCACCGACACTGAGTCCGAACAGGAGATGCTTTCGAAGGCCGAGGCCGAACATGCTTCTGTTTGCTCCTTCTACAGGATAGCATTCATTTAATATACGTTATTTATGTAAATTTATGTATATGTGTACATTATGGTACACATACATTTCTTAATGTGTAATGTTGTAAGACATCTCATCAGAGGGTCTTCTATAGACGCAAAATCTTACTGGTGGCGGTGCATGCTGGAGATGCCCCAGCGGGGGTTCAGAGCCTACTTCGGTGTTTTAGCTCTTGTGTCAGGGCTGTACGGTAGTTGTATATCGGGTCCTGGCACGATTACAATGTAGGGTCTGGGGCTAGATGTGGGGGTTTCCGAAAATAGGGGACCCTAATATAGTACCCTAAATAGTAGGATCCTTATTATATGTACCCCCCAAAAGAACGTACCCCTTATTTTCGGAAACTCCCATGTGATTCAAGATTAAGGAGTTGTGGGTGACCAAGTTATGTCGAAAGCCGCCCGGTTCGGGATGCGGGTTTCGGGTTCAGGATTCCAACTGTAGGTTCTTTGTCTTGGGTTTGGGGTATTGAAACTTCTGGCGACGGTTCCGGAGAGTCAGAGGGTTTATGCCTCTGAGGGTCCAGTCTAGCTGTCAAAGCGGCGGGGGCCGGGGCTTGCCAAGAAGGCAATGGCACTACCTCTGCAGTCATATTGAAACCCCATAGAACCCAAACCCTAGGCCCTAAGCCTTATAAGCCCTAAACCCTATAAACGCTAAACCCTATAAACCCTACAGAACGCAGATGATCCCCAGTGAGGGTGTCGTGCTGCACAGGCGCGGCGGCAACATTGTTACCTGCCTTCGGCGGGCTCTGCTGGCCACGGGACTGCTGCCCAATGCCCAGCTGTGCAGAACCTGATGGTTTTAAGGGTTTAGGGTGCCCAATATAACCTAGTGTGTCCAGGTTTGCTTGTATCTTTCAATGCATTTACGGATCCATAGCCTGCTAGGTAGGCTCATGAAAGCTGGGTCTGTCTGAGTATTCAAGAAAGTACGAAAGAGGCAAAACTTAAAAGTTGCATTTCCAAAATGCTTCAGTCAAATCTTGGGTAATGGATGCCTCCTGTTTGCTGCCTTCCGCAACGCTTTAATCTGAAGTCCCTAACCCCGACCCTATCTGGGGCTGAAGTTTTTCAAGAACTACTTTAAGAACCCAAAACCCACTTTTTTGTAGGTTCTTATTATAAACTCAAATATGGATTTATAGGGACCCTACAGAAAACTAGGTTTGGGGTTCTTAAGGTAGTTGCACACCAAACACTTGAGCCAAGAGCCCCAGAATTCTCCAAGCCCGACGAAAGGCACAACCCTATAATTTACGAGTCCGCTTAAAACCTTGAACCCATCGAAAAGGTCGGGGCTTACGGGGTGTTAGGGTGTTTAGGGCTTGGTTCTTTCGGGTTAGGGGAGAGTTCAGGGCAATTCAGCATAATTATCGCTGTCTTCCAGCCGCGACTCGCTGGACCCCAAAACATCTCGGCATCCACTGGCGGTTCCCTAACAACTCCCACTAAAACCGAGTTCTCTCCACCACTCACCCACCCACGTATATTGAGCAGCTGAGGCCGGGTGTCGACCTTGCGCTTTCTACATACCGTGACGGGGCTTCCGAATTAGGTCGGACGCATTTTGTCTCTACAGGGACTTCATTGCTGCGGGCACGACCTTAGTGGCCGCCGGTGCTACCGAGACTTTCTGACTATGTCGTCTGCATCTGCATCTGGTGAAGATCTGTTGACCTGCGGCCTGCGAAAGTCCTTGAATTCCATGTTTAATCGAGTTTCAGACATGCTTCCACAATCTCTCGATTCAAACCCGCCCCCCCCGGCGATTATTAAGTTTGCTTTCAATTGAAGATTGACATCGACATCCAGAGCTATGCTCCGGAAGACGACAGAGTCGACGACCGCTCTGACCTGTACTAGTGCTGCTGCTTCCACTGCTTCTACCAACACGAATGCCATATCTGCTGCCTGCAGTTGCTAGTACTACTACTGACTACTACTACTACTACTACTACTACTACTACTACTACTACTACTACTTCTAATACTTCTACTACTTCTACGACTACCAGTTACTA